AAAAAAAAAAAAAGACAACTCGGGTCTATTTGACAATCCAATAACTCCACAATATTTAAACTGTTTCCTTTAAATTTGCAGAGCTGAATTAGATTTGGGTGTGACACGACAGAGGTTACGAGATTCCCAAATGAATTTCTGGAATAGTAGGGATCATCTTTCATCAGTTACGTTGATCCGAGAGGCACTTAAGCTGCTCAAACTAAAAGCAAATGAATCAGCTAGTTTCCTCTACTTCCATTACTTTTGTTTTTTTGATGCAGGCATGAACATTGATGCTCTTGAAATATGATTATTTATCCCAAGAGACCCTTCATGAGCAAATACTGAATATGAAGTACAGTGTGTTGGTTATTAGCAATGGAGAAAGTGGAGCTAAATCAATGCTTTTATAAGAGAAACAAAACATGCAACCACTTGGAACGTACATAAGATCTTTTTCTTTTAATTTCTTTATATCAACTGCACTTATTTGCTGAATTGTAAACAGTCTGTTGTCTTTTCAATGTTCGATGCATAAGCACATCACGTATTTATATAAATGCACTCCTTCTAAAATCAAAATACAAAAAGTGCGGTATTTGCTAACTAATACACTTCTGGAAGCTGTTGGTTGTATTTTATTTCGCAAAACATGGGGGGTTTGAGATATTTGTGCCACACCTTATAGCTTCATTTGTTAAAAGAGCGAGACAAGTCTCCTTTCGGTTTACCCTGCGAATAGCAACAAAAACAAGGCTTAGCAACATTACTATTCATGCATTCGTACTCAAACTTGTTAAACTATCCACCAAGTCCATGAGCTTCATATAGTAGTTTCCTTAAGTAGTGACTGCCATACACTCATGCTTTCAAACTTAAACTATAAAACAAGACTTTATGGTAAAGAACTGTTTGACCTTATCTCGGTTTTGAAAAATGAAAACATTGATCCAGAGCCTTTTATTCAATGATTTGTCTCAGAAGTTATCAGTGCTGCAAACTGTGCACATGGTGTGATAGGGCGACCTCAGTCTGAGGTTACATGACCACATCTGCAAATGCTGTGCAAAATAAATCTCTACTGCACACAGCTGACGCTAGTAAGGTTCTGTTTTTTTTTCTTTTTTCTAAAGTTGATCCATTTGTTTTTGGGTCAGAGCTATGCATTTATCAGGTAAAAATCTGAAACGCTTATCCTTTATTGTGATGCTGCGTGAAAAATAAGAGGACTTCTTCGACACAGTTCTCAATGCGACAGTAGCCACCAGAATTTAAAAAAAAAATCCCTTTCTTTTAACTGTATATGTATGAAATGACAACTCATATTCCAATTCATAAATACTATATTGATTCCAAAGGGAACTTCAGTGTTGTTGTAATTTATATCAATGTGAAATTCCAATAATTTTGCATGTGCGAGTTTTAACTGAAACACATGAGTTGCTTTTGAAGGCCAAGCTTTTTGCCAGAAAGTGCAACCTCTGCTGTTTCATACCAAAAAAACAAAACAAAACAAAAAAACATTACCGTGAAATATTACCAGGAATATACCAACAGCCTCAAAAAGGGCTGACATTTCCACTTGAAGCAAAAGGAGTGCTTTCATGTCACACATCACAAAAACAGGCCACATCTGCAAAAATCTGAATTTGATGGTGGATTTTTGATATTTGGTTCTCTGAAGATTTGACCCGGCCAACAGCTTTAAGAATTATACCTAACAACAGTTATTGATTATTTACATTAGAAGCAGACTGTGTGAAGCAGGGTTTTATTATTATCTACTATACAAGACAAAATGAGACAATGCTGACATTTTAAGTTGTCTTTAGCGTCTTATATAAGCGATTAGCATGATGAGCGTTAGCGACCGTCAACAACCATCCATTCTTTAAAGAATGTAGATCCAGACAGTTTCATGGTAGAAAGAGGTTGAACGCTTCGATGAATACAACAACTTTGTTACTTTAATAGTGCCAGATTTTTTTTCCTTATCCAAAAAAATTAAAAAGAAAGAAAGCATATAAATAAATAAAAAACATAAATAAAACGTGGACTGATTGCTACTTCTTCAACAACAGTGCTGCTCATCAGTAGCTGAAAGTTTTGGACATATTTCCCGGCAACCCAAAATAGAAAGTAAAAATAGTTCTCTACTGACCCAGTTGGAAAAGTGAGTCCAAACTGAAGCCAAAAAAAAAAAGAAATTTTGGAGGAAAAGCCAAATAAAAGAAAAAAAAAAAGAAAAAAGCGAGCTGAGCTTTCCTACATAATTAATATGTGGATGGTTTTCAGATTGAGGTTCACATTGCTTCAAGCAAAGCCCTTCCATTGTCTCATTTTAAATGGAAGTGGGGCATTCCTTGCCTTAATATAAAAGTTCACAGATTTGCTCATAAAAGGTTAAACATCATCTAAACTGCTGAGTCAGTAACCATCTGATTTAAACACTTCTACAACTACTCTTTTATGTCTAGATCTAACCTTATCTCCAATTTGACTTTTACTGCAGTTCAGAGAATTGGAAAACTGTCTAAACACAGTTGAAAACTTGCAACTTGGAGAACTAATTAGCATTACGCTAAGTTTCTCACTGAGCCACAAAAGCAAAAATGATTCTGCTAAATGACTCCTCATTTAGCAGAACCATTTCTAAACTTTTGCACTGTACTTTGGTTCCTCACATTACAGCAGAATGAAGAGTCTGAACAGAAACATCAGCCGGCGATCTGGAGACTTGCACGTACCTGTGTCTGCGAGGGCCTGAAGGTGCAGCTGAACGACTGCTGCAGCGAGTCCAGGAACGGCTGGATCTTGTAAAGGCCCTGATTGCTCCCCTGGGACGGGCGGAAAGCCACGATGTGAAAGTACTTGAGGATCTTCTCGAAGCGCGACTGGCTCATCTTCAAGGCGATGCTCCTGTTGCTGAAGAAGCCCGAGCTCCAGATGCTGAGCACCGACTCGCAGCGGTGCACGCTGGTGGAGATGACGAAGCCCAGGAAGGCCTTCATCTCCTGCGCCGTGACGGGACACCAGCCTTCTTCGGAGCCGAAGCGCTCCTGAAACTTCTTGGCGTACATGTTTGTCTGGGTGACCATGTTTTGGATGCAGTTGTCTGGGACGAAGAGCTGGAAAAAGTCCAAGGCAGTGGCAGTGACCGGCATCTTCTGAACGGGTCCTGGAAGGAGACCGAAAGGAAATAAGCAAAATGCTGCAGCAAATGACACAGAACGACAGGAAGTCAGACATAAGCTTACTATCGGGAACGGCTGTCAATCTTAGCTCTTGAAGTTCAGTAACGGACTTTAGTTTGGCTCTTCTGCTCGATGAAATGTTTACTCTTTTTGACACTTTGACAGGAGAAAGTGAGCTGTCATTCTTTAAGCAGAGGAGAACTAACGCAAAGTGCTTCTTGCTGACATAAAGCACAATGTCGCCTCAAAAGTAGAGAAAAAAACAGCATCAAAACAGTTTTTTTTTTTTTTCATGAATGAACCGTGTCAGCCTTTGGTTTGAATGTCAAAGGCCGTGGGCCGTGGCTGGAAAGTTAAGAAGATTTGACAGCCGCCGCACGGTGGCGAGCGTCGGAGTTTGTCGTTTCTCTGCTCGCGGAAGGTCTCAGTGTCTCGTTGCTTTATTGTTATGGCAGGAAATGAGTCGGAACCGCGTCCCCAACTAGCTGAATCAGGCTTCTGACATCTGCCAATAAAGCTTCGGCTGATAAAAGAGCGGCGCTGGGACAGGAGCATTTATAATTTAGTCAAGCAGACACACATGGCAAACACACTGATTAGGTGGTTTATAAAGAGACATGTGCTCGAAACGCTGCAGCTGCGGTTAAATATAACCCTTATCTCAGAGAAAACACAGATAAAATGTCCATTTAGACATAATGAGTAAAGTAGCTTAGTTTGAATAACATAAACGGTGGCTAATTGTAGATTGGAAGATAAATGAATATAGTTCACTTTCAAAGTAGGCTTTTCCACTATTTTCCACAGTTCAAAGCAAAAACATTAGAGACATTATATAAGTAAATGATTTCAGATTTGAATTGATAAATAATCGCAGCCTTACTTGGCTCACATTTGAGTTTTGCTCTGGTTGTTGTAGTTTTTTTTGTTTTTTTTTTCCAGCTTAAGGCTTTTAACACTATAAACCACAGTCCCTCAGGGCTCAGTGTTGGGAAACAAAATTATTTGTTTTATTTATTAACGATATTTGCAAAGTATCCAGGATTCTCTAACCACTTTTATTTGCACATGATAATAATATATTTTGCTCAGGTAGTGATTTACAATTACTACCTGAAATGGTTAAAAAAAAAAAAAAAAAAAAAAAAAAAAGGATCAACATAGAAATGGTTCACAAAAGACACAATTACAAATTCAAATTAATGGGGCTAAGAAGAAAAATACGCAACATATTCTTTACTATTCAGTAATATTTCCATATTTAAGCTATTGTGCTGAGGTTTGGGAAAATAAACTGCAGAAGTAACCATATTCCACAAAAAAACTATCATAGACAACAACATCCACAACAAAAATCCAATACGGATTGTCATTTACCATGTTGGTTACAGAGATAACACAATTTTGCTGTTTTTAAAATAAAAAATGACAAGGATTTTACTGAATTCCCCCAAAAATGCAAATTATATTTATAGCCGAACACAATCTGCTACCAGAAAACATTTCAAAGAAACGGGGAATTTCAACTTTCATCAGCTATGCACTGAAAAGCATTTTACTTACATACTAATAAACAAAACAGTGCTAAGTCATTCTTCATAGTATGATGTGAGGGTGAAGCTTCAAGGATGGTAGAAATAAATATAACTATCAGCTGATACACTAACATCCCTCACCACTCTGTCTGGTTTTTACTGGCTCATCTCAGTTAGAGGTTTTCTCTGAGCTTGTTGACTGCTTCGAAAATAAATAAATAAATAAATAAATAAATTGGAAATTGAGTGGAACAATGTTAAGCTCAATTGAACACCAATGTCTCATTATCTCTAAACAGCAGACAGCAACATTTTCTCCTTGGATCGCTTCTCTGGCTTCTCTGAATGGTTTGCATCAGCTGCGTTAGCCTCTTAAGGTACAATTGCAGACAGCGCCATCGAGACAGGACGTTAGATCTCTGCAGGCCTGGAGGAGGACAGGATGTGGACAAGAGGGACATCGGGAACAATCACGAGAAGATGTCTGCCGCTTGCAGAGGAGATGGCCGAAATATGGGCAGGCTGGCTCAAAGCCAAACTCATTTATGTCCAACTAAACTTTAAAGTTCAATGTAAATCTAAGCAGGATGTAGAGGCACGTTTTCTATAAGGAACAAAACGAAAACATAGAGAAATGGCCTTGAAAATATTCAACCTCCACATTTTTACATGCTACAGCCACAAACCCGTGCAGTTTATTTGGACTTTAATTTGCAGGCCAGCGTAAAGTAGGTAAAATGACAGAAAGCAGATGTTTACACCTTTTCCTCAGAGATCTGGTCTCCGATGAAGAAACGCCAGTTTGTTTTTAGTCTAACCAGCAAATATGCTGTTTGCTACCATTGCCTGATGTACGTCAACCGGGGATTGAAAATATACATTTTCTAAATCATTTACTACCAAATCCACTCAAATCCCAGGACGAAGAAAATCCTACCTGCTGATCAGCTGATATTTTTTTATTCCAGTAGCTGGAGGACAAACATCTGCCTGGTAGAGAGCTTTTATATCCAGGGATTACACGGTGGGAGATTACACTATATTTGTGGCGCATAAACCCTTCACCAAACTGAACACGGTTCAGGCTCAGCTGAGGAGCCAAGGAGAGAACTGAAAATTATCTTTTGCCTGTCATCGTTAAGAGGGTTTCCTAAAATAAACTAAGATGATCTGATTTTAATATTCAGAAAGCTATAAACAGAAAAACGAGACAAATATTCAATGTGGTAAAATAAGCAAAGACAGAAAAATCTGAAAGGGGTTAAAATACTTTCTTTTTTTTTTACAGAATACCTTACTCCTATTATAAAAATGCTTTGTTTCAATATAATATGTAATATTTAGAAAACTTCTGTTACAAAGAAGCGCAAACATCCAATATAAACATCTAATTGAAAGTCTACTGAAAAATGCATTTGTTCAGATTTCTTTAGGCATATCTATAGATTTCCTCTTCAGAATAGCCCATTGAAGTTGAAAAACCTTTATTATTTTTTGTGTCTCTGCATCAACATGTAGACAGAATGACATTTAGAAATACCAGGTCAAAACATGTAACTTGGTTTATGGTGAGGAGCAGCAGTCTAACAGGATGTCAGCAAAGTGAGTGAACTCCTAACTCCTCACCATAAGTTGTTTGTAGAATCTAAAGGTTTAGATATGGGTTTCATAACGCCTTGCTCGCTGTGCAGAGAAAACAAATTCTCATCCGACTATGAACCCTAAAAATCAACTAAAACCTGACCCGAGTGTTTCCTCTAGATCTGCACCTGTCTTCTGCTGCAAAACCAGAACAAACCATCTAGGGTTTGCATGAGGTTTGTGAGCGAATGCGTTCTGACAGGAGCCGATAATTTATGAACACATGACACGGCGTCCAAAGAGTGGAGCTGTCACATCCGCAGTGTGTTTGTGTGATGGGCAGCACACCTTGACAGAGAAATGGGCAGGCAAGTGACAAATATGCAGCCAGACAGGCAAAGCAGTCCAGACGTATTAATATCTCCCTTTGCTGCAGCGTTGGCCGACTTAAGAAGCTTCTGATGCCGTCAGTGTCAGACGCATATTCGTGCACCGATGTTCAGACCGGAGAGCTCCAGATTATTAAGTCTGAAAACAGTTTTGTCACTTTATGTGTTTTTATCTTCGCAGAGTAGCAGCCAAAACCCAGGTTTGCCGTGTTTGTGCAAACAGACACTGAATGTTTTTCTTTTGCAAATCCACCTCAGACTAAAACAGACAGACACACCTGCGCGCTACCTTATAATAACTAAAGAGCAACACCACACCCACTTCAGGATGTGGGAAGTACAAAGCATCCTATAGCTTTCCTTATCTCCATGGGAACTCTGGCTCAAAAAAAACCATATGCGCTCTTACATTTCTAATCATAAAAAAGGTGGATTTTTTTTGTTGCAAGCAAGTTATTTCTGATTCTGCAGTGCTTTCCTTGCACTTTACCCAGAGCCGGGTTCTCATTTTTAAAAAAAAAAAAAAAAAAAAAAAGTCAACAAACAGGCTATGAGCACAGCTGGGCTTGGTTCATATCTTCCAGAGCCACATGCCGCAGCTGCATCCAAAGCTGCAGCGATGCTCTATATCACTGTGGATACAGACTGGCATTCCCTGCTGCTGTGGATGAACATGCAGAAACTGAAAGGGATGGACAGAGCAGGTGGATGGGTTCTCAAAAGAAAACTGAACCAGGCTTGTAGCAAGTGCTAAAAACCACCAAGACTAATATAGCCGAGAACCACACAGCGTAGTGTTTAAAAGAACACATTTTTCTATTGTAAAAAACAGTTTAAAAAAAAAATCATTCAGGCAATAATTATTATTATTTCATGGTTTATTTCCTGTCACTGCAGCTCCATTTGGCCCCGACACCTCATTGGTCAACATGCACAGCTTGTAAACTTCACAATGATTACAGTAACTTCTATAGCTCTAGCCCTGCCCACTGACTGACTGAATGGTAAGGCAAGGCGTGTGTGTATATATAGGACTACTCACTGACTTGTGGGGATATGTAATTGGAAATGATTTAACTACAGCATTGGCATTAAGCTTTTACAGTTTATCTGATTCCCCTATGAATAAGTTAGACAGTTTGTGTGAGGTACCCTGCTGCTTCTCTAAATTACACAGCATGTCCCTCCGCACTGCAATCAAACATGAACTCAGCAGCGTGTGTATCACAGCACTGAGGGGTGAAGTATCAAAGGCTAAGCGTGTGTCATTAACCCTCCAGTGCGGTGTCACGCTCCTCTCCATCGCACATGGATGGAAAGGAGGCGTGCATTCAGTTGCGTTATCACTGCCCTACATTTTCGTAAGAGAGTCAGAGAAATGGCCTGTCTGACCTGAAAACCCACACCGTGTGTTTCCATTCACCTTAAAGCCAGGGGGGCATTTCTTCTCTACTGCACAAATGACCTTATTCGTTCGTCGCGAATCGTGTCTCCCTCACCGTATGTCTCTTTGTACGGCGGGACCGTGACATCCTGCAGCGTCTCCGTCCAGCCTTCCTCCTCCGCCTGACTCCGGGTGAGGGAGCCCGGGGGCCCGCTGCTCCCGCCCGCAGACCCGCCACCAGACCCCCCGCTGTGGCCACAATCCTTGTCCCCGCGTTTTGGATGGTGGTGGTGCTGATGGTGCTGCTGCTCCTGCTCGCCCGCCTCGGCTATGTAGTTGTCGGAGTCGGAGTCCCCCGAGGTGCTGTAGAAGGGATTGTCGCTGCTGTCATCCCCGGACTCGCCGAACACATCGTCGGATATCTGCAGGCTCTCGTACCGGGAGCGGGCCGCTTCCAGGAGAGACAGCGCCTTCCGCCCGCACTCGGCCATCTCCCTCAGCAGTGATGCTCCTTTCCCCCCACCCCGCTCCCCTTCTTCCTCTCTCTCTCTCTCTCTCTTTCTCAGTCTGTCACTACGTCTTTCCTGGCGTGCAGGTAGTCACGATCTGCCAAGATCTTGCAGGAACACGGATGTGTGTGCCTTCACCGTGACACACAGCACCTTACCGTGCACTAGGGAAGCTGCACATTTAAATCCACCTTCCTCTCCCGGCTCGGATGTAGAGCCTGGCGGCCAGACGACTGAGCAGCCGGGAAAAGCTGCGCTTCAAAGGTCCGGAAATAATTCCGCCCCTTGCTGTGCCGACAGGGCTGCGCACTGGGCAGTGCTCAGCATCCGGGTTGATAGAGCGGCGATCTACGCTCTCCACGGAGGAGCAGAAGGAGTAGTAGCCGTCTGCGTCCACATCACCTGACACTGAATCCCCCCAGCGTCGACCAATAAGATCACATTTCCTGATCCAAACCGAGAGGAGGACTTGCACTCATAACCCATGGCAATAATAATAATAATAATTAAAAAATAATATAATTATGTTATGAAAGTGGTCCAGTTTTTCCAGCATTTGACTACACAAATAAAAAGTAGAAAAAGAATGCATTAATGCCTGCTCGTTGTATGTATTAAGGAATATTGTGCATCATTTAATTCTTAGAAATACACCACGTACATATAGATGCATGCACTAAATACCCGTATAAATAATTGAATGATGAAATAATAAATTCCAGATAATGCATATGGCACAGATTTTCCATACAGCAAAACACTGCCAAAAGTGCCACCATCCATTAAAGATTTGTTGAATACTATTAGTAATTGAAAAAAAAGAACACTTAAGTAAATAATACAGACCATGTATTCAAATTAAAAGCTGTTGATTATTTCTGATATAAATGTTTAAACATCAAAATAATTAAAATGCATATTATAAATACGACTATGATTTTTTTTGCCTTAGATCAATTACATAAAAAATACAAAACAATAATAACATTACTTGATGACTACATTAAATAGTAAAAAAGTGTTATAATCCAATTGTCTTCAAAATAAACTACCCCTACATATTGCCCTCAATACCTACTGACGTCAAAAAGTGTCACAATCCAAAAAATATGTATTTTGTTAAAGAAGTATTTGTATATGTGATATTTGAAATTATGAAGAAATGATCTAGAATTACTTAAATGTTCAATAACTTTTTAAATACACAAATTCAATCATATTCAATAAATTTGAATATGCGTTTAGATGAGGCTCGACATACCTTTTGGCTATTACAACCTTTAAGCAAGTTTTAACGATTTTCAATAACCCCACATCTCTGTATTAAAAATGTGTTTATTGATCTGATGTCATTTTCTAATCTTAAATGTCTTCTTTTCATTAGCTGTAAAATATCCACCAGTATGTAACTGATCTATGTGCGGTGATTCACTTAGTGAATTGAGATTCTGAAATAATCAGTATTTACTTAATTGAAAGAGATTTCCTGAAGCCTCAAATTCTCACAAAAATAGTACAATACATATTTATTTTTACCAAAGAGTTTTTATATGATAATGTGGAAATTGAAACTGATGGGAAATAAACCTACAAGGACATTTAGTCTCAGATTAAAAATGATAGTTAATGGATTACATTGACTCAAAACATGTAATACTATATGTCACGTTTCACAAAACAGTAAATTATGAACTGTCCAAAACAAGGACCATAGAGCAATGGATTTATTAAAAGTTCAATTCCCCATTTGTCAGAGAGTCATTCACAGTCAACAGGCTTTAAACTTACAATCATCCCTTTTTATTCAGGATTTCTGCTGGCTGAAATGAGTGATCATCTTTCTGAGGAGGAGTGGCGAACACATTCAGGTAAACCTTGTGGACTGGAACAGCAGGGATAACACAGCTGGGGTTTCAAGAAGTCTGCAACTTTTGTCCAGTGGTGTGATCCCCCTGATCGCTTGAAGCTTGATGCGTCAATCTGCCAGTGAACCAAAATAAATACATGAATAAATAAATAAAAAAGGTTGTTGTGGGCGTAAAATGAAGAATTTCACATGAAACAGCTACAGAATAAAAGTAAAACTCAAACTTTACTATTAAAATGAGCTCGTGACTTATCCATGATGTACTTTGTTTTTATTCAGGCAGAGATGTTTTCATAAAGCTCAACTTTCTGTTGCTTACTGCATGTACCATCATTATCTCTAGTAATACTGGCAAATACAAAAAAAAATATGTTTGTGATTAAGATATGCTTTGAGAAATAAAGCAAAGAGCAGAGTTGACGTGCTCTCACCAGACACTGGTTCACTTAATCTAACAAACAGAGTCACTTCCTGTCCTATATTGGTTTCTGCAAGAACTATGCAGGTTTAATGAACTTGCAAAAACTGAAAGAACTCCTCACAGGTAGGTTTTAATAAAACTGACAGAAACTTTTACTTTTGATGTACCTGTACGTTAAATAGCAAGGGGTAGTTAATACAATACCCCTTGCTGTTTGCACTGGGTTCAAAGTGAAAGAAAGGTTTTACCCCCAGAAAACTTGCAAAGTCCGGTGGTTGGGTGCAGTCATTCATCCAGCGGCCCGTCGTGTTTTTGAGTTAAAAATTTTTAAAGTTCACAGGAGATTTGAAAGTATCACTTGATAATTATGTGTTATTGAAAGATCGAAAGGTTTATACCTGAACACCAACTATAAAGTCTAAAAAAATGCAAACATCTTAAAAAGACCTAGATAAATAAGCAATGCTTAGCCTGGTGGGGGCACAAGTAAAGCCAAGGTTGCCCACCAGGCTTATAATACACTGAGGGGAAACTGTGGACAGTCTTCAACATCACAGGGACAGGATGTGATCCCAGTTTTGTTCAGTGTTTTCATAATTCAATAAATCATTTCTAAAGAGATGACATTGTGGAGCTAACCCTCCCATTCCTTGATGGTCAAACATTTGATAGAAATTAATTAAGTTTTTTTTTTTTATGTTTTCTTCTTGGAACTGACATTCTTTACAGCTGATCACTGGACCTACCAGATTCCTGGAGCAGCTCAATCTCTATTGCCTCTGATAGCATTCCTCTTTCTTCTAATCGTTCCAGGAGTGACTTTAAAACTTGTTTCTGTCTCCTCTCTCGATCCTTTGCATTTCTGAGTTGTCGTTCCAGCTCCTCGATCCGTGTTTGAGCGTCAGATAGCTTTTTTTTTACTTGAGTAGGATCCAGAGCATAATGATGATCCTACAGAAGGAAAGATTTGTTGACTAAAGCAACACTTTTGCCGTAAATTGCTGTGAACTGTTTATGTTTTAAGAAAGAAACCGTTTTAAAACTCTGAATCATTTTGGTTTCCACTTCACATCTATGTTCTACTCTGCAAGTGAATCACATATAATCTAAATAAAGTATGTTGAATTTTGTAGATTTAAATGAAAAAAGTCTGAAAGCTTTTGCATGAGACTTTACTTACAGAAACTGCAGGCTTTGGAGGTTCTGAACATTTGGGCGCAGGGACGGGATCCTTGATTGGCTCCAATGCACGCCTTGATGTCTTCGTTGACCTGGTTTTAATGGGCCTCTTCAGATTTGAAAACAGAGATATATTAGTGAGAAAAAAAATAAAATAGGTGGCAACCCAGGTAAATCTGTAAGAAATCTGTATGTACTAACCCTCTTTAGATGGTTTGGAAAAGATGCAAAAACAGAAGGGATAACACCTTCCCTCAATCGAACAGTTTGACCAGTTCTGTCAAAATCAGCTTGAGTAAAGTGATCACTACAGAGCACGGTTTTATTAGATGGCTTGAAGTCCAGTCTTCTGAATGCTAAGATCCAGGCTTTTCTGAGTCCAGGGTCTTTGGGGAACCTTTAAAATAAACAAATTCGTGAGAGATTTACTTCTAATTAGGCCAATAATTTGGTGAGTGTGCATAAAGTTAACAACGTGAAAGTATGTTTTGCTTGGTAACAACAATCAAAGCATATACCGTTAATGTTTTTGATAGTTTAAATTACATTAACAACGGCAGATAAGATTGAAATACAACAAACGTCAACTCACTGGTGAAAAGTTATCCCTCGATGTTTACTTAGAATGGTTCGTCTGTTTTTACAGCCATAAGCCGAACAGGATACCGGCATTTCTGGATGTGGTCACGTTTACAATAAAAGCTGCTCTAATCGCCTGCTGCCAACGTTGACCTACCTAAGATGGCGGACACGAAGACGTACGTCTGAACATTAGCAAATACGGTATCTAACCGTATTTATCTATGGTCAGGCAATTTTTGTAGCACAGTAGAAGTACAGTTGTATTGCTACAATAAATCAAAAGTGAAGAAAATGTACTTATTATAAGTAAATACGGCAAACTCTCCGTAAAGCGACAGGACAACACTCCTCACCGCCTCAATGGCGTCTGAAGACCCCCCAACCTCTAGAGGGCGCGGTGGTGTCGCGGGAAGTGCCATGTTTGCGGAAGCTACGCTGTAGCAGCTAACCTGACAGTTTGTCATCTTTATCCGTGAATGTTGTGCTGAGCTGTCGTTTGAGATCCAAAATGAATTTACCGAAAGGACCAGATTCTCTGTGCTTCGATAAAGATGTTTTCATGAAGGTGAGAGTTTGTTAAACTCGCGTTATTTTAGAGGGCTATGGTTAGCACCTGCCAAGCAGTTTAGCATTAAACAAGACAAATGTCGATATTTGATGTTAACTGTTGATGTTTAAAGATTTATTTTTGATATTGTGTCCAAAAATGTATACACATGCATTCGCCTGCGGTTTTAATTTCCAGCATCTGCTTTATTACAACCAGTATGTCTTAAGTAAAGGACTAAATATTCATGTTCTCAGGATCTCTTATTTACTTTACCTTGCAGAAGTACCTACACACCTTTAACTTTTACACTTCGTCACTGAATTTTATTTGATAGTTTTAAACACAGTTGTGCAACATTGTTTACAACTAGAAATCTCACACGTGTGACGTTCATTTGGTGAATGCACAATCCTCATTGTGAATTTATAAAAGCAAAGCTGAATCTAATATAGAATCTAAGTCATAATTCGAAAATGTATGTATTATCCATGCAATTTAGCGAAGATGCTGCCGACACACCCCAAAAGACTTGCAGCTGTTATTACAGTAAAGATTGGCTCCACAGTTGACTAAAGGGGAATGAAGACAAATGGATGCCACACAATTTGTAAAAGAAAAACTTGTATCCATTTCTTTCTGATTCACAAGTGTGTGCTACTTACTTATAGTGTATTATATAAAATCCCACTGAAATACCATATAAGTTTGAGATTTTTGTATGAACAAAAGAAAACTTGGTTATTTTTTATGATTATCTCTGTGTGTTGGAACTGCCACTCACATTTTCTGCT